TTTTCAAGTTCTCCCCCCCCCCCCTTTAATCATGCATTATAATTTTCAACACTATTTTCACGGGAGAAATACATTAGAAATATACGTAGACATTAACCCTTTTTTGGTATTATATGTGTACAATATACTACGTAACGTGTTAATGTTTAAATATTAGATATTGGAATAATAATTACCTTAATGTTTGGCCTAAAATTATGGCCACAGTGACAGCTTCTGTAGGCCGAACGGGGGAGCAGCACGTAATGAAACTTGGGTCTAATCTCTTTTCATGGTCCATCTCAGTCTCTGAACAGCAAGAAAAGAAATATTTGAAATTAATAAATAAAGTAATTATTTAAATAATTGGACCAAAATGCTTTGGAGTTTAGGTAAATATATCTGTTTCTTAGCCTGGAAAATCAACAAATCCGTTTTTATAAGAAACAGGAGAGAGAGAGAGAGAGAGAGAGGCTGGGGAGAGAGAGCCACTGGATCAAATCCGAAGTATCCTATAAGTTTCTCCAAACAGCTAGCTTCCAGAAAGTACAGCCTCTTCTTTTAACCGCACGTGCGCTTTTTCCCCTCATCCAATCGGCTTGATTTTATTTTTATTTTAAATAAATAAATAATTCTGACAAGAGCAGTTCAGCTCGTGTTTCAATTATTGAATCTCGAGACACCACGCATTTGTCGTGGCATATTTGGTGATCAGACAGAATCAAACTCGTCTCCACATACAAAGTACAAAGCTACCAAACAACTCCGTACCTGTTGCTGTACAGTACAGGCTACCAAAACTTCGCCCCGGCTTACCATCGAAGAGGAGCATGCTACGTTGTTTTTTATAGGGGAAAACGGCACGCTGTTTCGGTCGGGCCATCCATCCATCCACCGCCTAAACACGGCGTTTATCCTCTCTGAAATGGGTTTTGGTTAGGCGGATGGACGAATGGTCGACATTTCAATGTATCGTATAACATAATCTCAAACGTATAATTTAATTCGGGAAATATAACTGATCCTACCAATATCAGAAACCAAAAAAAAAAAAAAAAAAAAATTGGGGGAAATAACGAATAAAACTTCAACGTTGAAAAGACATGAAAGACAGACAATGTGAAGCAATGTCTCTTAGTCAATTGATAGTAAGTTAATATAACAAAGCTTGTCTCTAACATAATAATTGTAATGTGAACCTATCTTGTTTGCTGAATTTTATGTAAAATAATTTAGATTATAAACGGCAATAGTTTTTATCTTGATTTTTTTATAAATCCAAAAAATGAATTATTTTATTTTTTAATTAATTTTTCTATTAAAGTAGTTTTCTAAGTTTAAAAAAAATAAATTTATGAAATCTTGATTGTTAATTTTTTTGGGTTTTTGGATTATTTAAACTCTAAAAATTCCATCCATTCAATCCCTCACAAAAAAAAAAAAAAATTAAAACCAAAAACTCTAAAAAAAAAAGGATCACCATTCATAATCTAGGTTCTTTCACATAAAATCCAGCAAACAATATAGGTTCTACCATACAAAAACCCTAGAAAAAATCCATCAATCCGATGGTACAACGTTCACCGAGTTCCCATCGGTAAACGAATATCAACCGAGATAACTCGCCAGAGAAAACCCGGTTCGAATCGGTGACACGGTTGGGGAGAGAATTTGAGATCGAGAGCAATGGATGAGAGAGTTCAAGTTTGGATCTTTAGACTTGTAATAATGCAAAAGCTTTTGATGGTGAAATTTCTTATAATGGGTTAGTTAAAAAAAACAAATAGTGAAAAAGGGAGGAGTGACATTCCAATTTACAACAGTTAATTATATAAAATTACCGTTGGCCGTACCCATCATCAAAATTTTTCACTACCCATTTTGATTTTGGCCCAAACCCTTTTCCGTGTTTCAGTTCACTGCTTTGCTCTTGAACTTCCTCTGAGCCTTCAAGTCCACGACCACGACACTTATGTTGTCTTTGCTTCCCTTCTTCAATGCCAACTTCGACAGGTACTCGGCCGCTGTCTGAGCCGCCGGATCGATCCCTTCCCCTCTCCTCTCCATCGGCAAAAGTGCATCTCCAGCCATGGCATTCTTCTTGTGCCACACCAGAATTCGTTTACGGGCCATGTCGCATGCTTCCTCGTTCGTCATCACGTCCCATAAGCCATCGCTCGCCAAGATCAGACAGTCATCTTCTCTTACTCGCCGGATAACCATAACTTCCGGGTCGGGAATGATCGACGGTTTCAGGTATCTATCGCCTGTATATGTACGGGTTTGTTCGTTTCGATTTTTTGGAGAGAATGGCGTTTGAATGCAATGCGATTTCCGGGAAAAAGAGAGAAGTTTTTTACCGATGGATCTTGACATGGCGAGAACACCGAAAACTCGAGCACCGTTCCATCTGATCACTTTCCCTCCGGCGGCTTCTATCCTCGCCGCCTCGTCCTCTCTATCCGGCTATATACACACACACACTTATACATACATCAGTAATGGTGAAAACGTTATGCAATTATGCTGAATCATTGAAGCTTGTAATTACTTTGTGATCTACTGATAAAGGTAAGGGGGCTTTGCCACGGCAGAGAACAGCTCGGGAATCGCCGCAGTTGGCGACGAATATATGAGTTGGGAAGACGACGGCCGCCACCGCCGTCGAGCCCACCGTCTCCGGAGCCACTGGTCCGAGCTCCGAGTCCACTTTCAGGAACGAATTGAACAGAGCTCTCTTCCATTTTTCCTGCCACGTGTCTCCATCGCAGAGCCCCAGTTTCTTCTCTTTAGCTATCTCCTCTGCCAACGCCTTGTGTACCCTCTCGCGGCAATAGTTCGCCACCTACGACCGGAAAACAGAGGAAGACTTTGTGTTCATGTCTCTGTCTGTGATCGGTATTGTTCAGATCTATATCAAAGCTTATGCCACGAATCAAGATTCTGATTCTCTACCTACCAGACCCGAGTAAGCGTTATAAGCGTAAAGAAGACATAGAGGAGATGAGTTGTTGTTGTTATTACCTGAGAGCCGCCATGGCCGTCGAAGACACCGAAGAAATGAGCACTCGTATGAGGATTGAATCCGTTGGAGACACGACCTTCAGACAAAGTATGTAATGAAACCTGAAGAAACCTGGGAATCGTCGAAACAGCGTCTTCCATTTCCGGTCGTCTTCCACAAATCGAAGTTACTCCGTACAAAGGCACACTCTTGAACTCGAAGAGACTTCTGCTCTCTGTTCTGCTGATTACCTTCTTCTCGCTCTGAGCCGTTGATCTCCGGTCAAACTCCTCCGAGCCGTTGATTTCCTCACCGGCGACGTCTGATGACGAATTGAGCCGAAAGGGCAAATCTTTCTTAGATTCATCACCGGAGACAAGAGACCCAGAACACGGACCGCCATGAAACGAGAACCCATGTTCCAGATTCGTGTGTTCTGCACTAGCGCCCATGGAATTGCCATCGTCGATTGGGTACTGGCCGTTACAGTGCCCTTTACTTAGCCTGAGTCCGGTGAATTCCAGCTGAGGCTCAGGGAGCGGCGGCCTGAATGGCACGGCGACCGCCGGAGAAACTTCATCCATTGATGAACTCTGATTCACGAAATGGGCGCCAAGAATCTGCAGGGATTGAGCTTTTTCTTCTTCTATTTCGTAGAAGTTAGGGGCGAGAGGTGATGACCTAAAAAAAAACAGACACGCACGGAGAGTGGAAGAAAAACGAAAAGTCGAAAAATTTCTACAGGAAGTCAAGAGAGAGGCTTTATCAGAGGAGATGGATGCAAGAAACTCGTGAATGAAAGAGGACCAGAAACAGAAACAGAGGAATTTTCCAGGGAAAATTACGACCCAGAATGAGGTTTAAAAAGGTAAACGATCCAAATCAACCCAGGGCTTCCTGGATTCATGGGCAATTCGTTTCAACCTCTTACAGATTCTGTGATCTCTCTCTCTCTCTCTCTCCAGTTAATTTCCAAAGATTCAACTAACTGAAGTTGAAAGAAGGCTCCTCTCTATACAAACATTAGTATTAAAAAAAAAAAACGGGTAGGCAGAAAACTCCTTCAAAATCTGCCACATACCCGTAGAAGATCCTAAATTATTACACAAAGGGGGGATTGATTTCTGTCTGGAAATATAATAAGAGAGAAAATACGGTTTTTGAACTTCGCTATAATTACAACAGGAGAAGACAAACGCTGCACATCTTTCCCCTCCCCCCTCGTCCCTTTTGTCATTTACTGTTTTGCCCTTTACTTCCTCCATTGTAAAGATGTTTAACGTTTTAGGCCACAATCACAAGTGCCACATAGGCTGTTTCCTCACATCGTAGGCGCAATAACTTCTAACTATCTGATTCATTCTCCATTCTTAAATAGAAATACGCCAAAAAAAAAAAACTACTTAAACTTTTTTTTGATAACCTGATACGAGTTACATGCAAAAGATCCATAGATTTTTCCAAAAGATCCATAAATACGCCAAAAATAATTTAAGTTAACTGAGGGTTAATGTTATCAGAAAATGATTCCAATAAGTCATTTTGAGTCACGTTTATTTTGCTATAATTTTCAGATATTAATTAATTTTTCTAATTACGGATAATGATATGACGGTCCGGCCGGAGGAGAAAAAAAAAAGACAGGTAAGCAAACAGTGATGTGCTGTGTTGTCCTTGTCCACGGCTTTATTCCATTTCACAATAATTATTTTAAAATCCTTTTCGAAAGATCCACGGCAACAATTAAAAAAAAAGGTTAAAGAAAAATAAAGGTGGGGCCCACAGAACCGGCGGATGGCAGCCACGTACACATGAGAAATTCTGGATTTTGGTAAACAAAAGAGTGGTGACGTGTACGGTGGGAGATCCGTTGGTTGGATGACGGGAAAGATAAGAGGAAAAGACGGAGACCGCCCCTAACTTCCGTAAATATCTTGTGTTTCTTTTTTTTTCTTCTTCTTTTAAATTTGTCTTTTTTTTTTTTTCTGCATAAAAAATAATCAAAATTGAAAACGATCTCCCTCTCCCGTTTGACGCCACGTGGCCTCTGTCGCTTGGGCAGGGAGGACGTGCGAAGGAAATACAAAATCAGAATACAGTGACCAATCGATGGTATAATCTTGAATATCTTCCAGAACACATACATACGTTTTACGTATTTTTCGTCGTATACGTGTGGGTTTCCGCTTGAGCTAATATAATGGACATATAATATAAAAAATAAGGGAAGATGATGCATTCGTTCGTTTCTCAAGTTTTTGAAAATAAGGCGACTGATATAATTACATATAGAAAAATTATAAATTTAGGATTAAGATTCTCTACGGTGACATTTATTGGGCAAAAAGCAAAGAATATTTTACAAAATGGGCCTGGCCCATTAATTTTATGTGGACAAGGTTTATCAGTTTACTACAACAAAGCAGATTCTCTTTCTCCCTCCTCTTTCCGGATACAAATTTGACCTTTTTTTTTTTTTGGTGTGGATATACAACAAAATATATCGCCGTGTCTTGGCTGAGCATATATATATATATATATACATATACATATTCTACCTGTGATCAAGTGGACTTGGTTCTCTCCAAGCGAGAAAGCCACTCCTGAATGGCTGATCTGAGAGTGTGGTTCGGAGTCAGATCCAAATGCTTGAGCCGTTGCTTCGTGACCGGCGACACTTGGTGTTTCTCAATCCACGCCTTGATCGCCTTCTGCTCGTACGTAAATCCATCCGCTGCTATGTGCGGATCCTCCATTATTTCCTGCATCATCCACACACACATTAGCTCTGTATCACCCCTGCTGAGGTTTTGCCCAACTGGGTTCTTCTCATTTTTTTTTTGTTTTTATTACCTTGAGGATCGGACAGTAATAATGGCTTGGTGGCCGGACGTTGTCCTGCTTGTTCTTGTTTCTGTTGTTTGCAGATTCAAGAATCCGTTTGAGAGCTGGCAAGACTTGGGTTTCGAGATCTGGTCTGTCCCTGCATTTGAGCTGCGAACATTTGAGAGCAATGCTCGCTAGTTCTTCCACTTCGTCCATTGGCCAACCTTTGACTGATTCATCCAACATGTCAGGGAAGCACCCTCTCTTCACAGCATCCTCCACGCAGAAAAGCAACCCGTTGGGATGGCGGGCCGTCAGTAGCTGGAGAATTATGATCCCGAACGCGTAAAGATCCGATTTTGGTCTGATCGTGCCCGTTCTCTGGTACTCGGGGTCCATGTAGTAGAGCGTACCGGCAAGAACGGAGTTTCTGTACACAGTGACACTGTCTGGTGCATTGTCTGATATGAGCTTAGCTAGCCCAACGTCCCCAATTTTGCTGACGTAGTTTCTGTCCAGGAGAATGTTACCGGGCTTGAGGTCACGGTGGACTATGGGCTCGGGTTTGGAGTTGTGGAGGAAAGCCATGCCACAGGCCACCTCGTAGATTATCCGGAATCTGATGAACCAAGGGAGTGGTGGTTTGCCTTTCTTGTGGGAGATGTAATCTTCCAGACTCCCGTTATCCAGATACTCGTAGACGAGGCAGCCATTGTCTGGACAAGCACCGAGGAGAAGAACCACGTGGGGATGTCGCAGCTGGCTTAGGACAGCAACCTGCATTGACCCGGAAATCAGAAGATCAGAAATGCAACAAGGTCGAACATTGAGTATGACATTGATTGGATTTGGTGAGGAAGATGAAATTACCTCTCTCAAAAATTCCTCTTTCTTCTCAACGGAATCGGGTTTGAGAACTTTAACAGCTACTGGGGTGCGATCGAGGCTGCATTTGTAGACCTTCCCATATCCTCCTTCACCAATTACTTTACGTGGCGAGAAATTATCAGTTGCTGCTGATATTTCATCCTTGGTGTACTTTCTGTACCTCTTGTCGCTCAGGAAGAGCTGATCGATGACTTTCTGTTTCTCTATGCACTGTCTGAGGGCATTGAGCTCAGCTAGCTGTCTCTCGCAGAACTCTTTGGCCAGCAAGGCCTTCGCCTCCTCTACTTCCTTTGCGGCTTTTAGATGTTTTTCTTTCTCCTCAGCCGTGGCTTTCCTCAACATTTCTTCTTTTTCCAGAGCAGTAATTACTCTTTTCGCTTCTTCTATGCATTCAGAGGAAAGCGATTGAACCTGAGTTCAATGATGTAAGTCACATTCATGTCAATCTCTGAAATGGAAATTATTAGAACTAGAACCCAAAAACAGAATCATGACAAATGTTGAAGAGTTTGGTAATCGAACCCCGACCTGGGTTTGCTTATGGACCAGCTGATATGGATTTAGAAAACTTTAGATAGTGAGTTATATGCC